AGGCAAATGATATTTCTTGCAGATATTCCAATGCACCATTGTTGCTATTTCATCATGCTGTTGTTGGTACTCAATCTGTGCAATCTTTTTGCAGCAGCTAACTAGGTGGTCCACTCTTTCTTCAGCTTCTTTGCAGAGGTGGCATTTGCTGTCTGTTGCTGTCTTCTGGCTTTATATGCATTAAGGCTTGGTCTTGTGCAGCCAGACTTAGCCCCTTTGCTTCTTTCTTCAACTTTCCTGCTCTTAGCCATTGCCAGGTCTTGTTGTTAACAGCTTTGCCTGCTAGCTTTCTTGCATACTGGCCATGTAATACTTTGCCTTGCTATGCCTCTTTTCTGTTCTTTATTTGGTCTTTCTTATAGGCCAGTTTGGTTTCTTTGGTATTCAGTAAGTCTTCATGGTGTGCTAGCTTCAGTGCATCTTCTCTGTCCTTCAGATATTATTCCAATGCCCTTTTTTCTTCTTCCACTGTCTGGTGTACTTGCAACATTCCATGCCCACCTATGTTCCTTGGTAAGAAGAGTCTGTCAACATCACTGCGTGGATAAAGGGCATTATTCACTGTCATTATTTTTCTGGTCTTTCTATCCAGGGCTTTTAGTTCAGCTTGAGTCCACTATTCCAGCTCTATAGCTAATGACAGGAATTGCCCAAGTGTTAATTGCCTTGATGGTATTTCCTCCACTGATTTGGACTTTAAGACCTTTGTTACTCTCATGATGTATCCACTACTAACCTTCTTCTTGACTTCAGCATGCTTGTTGGCAGCCTCAAGGACTTTGGTGCCCAGGTATTTGTAGTGATCTTCTTCATCCAGACTCTTGATGTTATTTCCACTGGGCAAGTTCATTCCTTCAGTTTTCACTATTTTTCCCCTGATGACGGTAAGGGTGGCACATTTGTCCAGTCCAAACCCCACTGCAATATCTTGGCTATATATTTGGACAGTGTTCAGCAGCAATTCCATTTCAGATGGTGTTTTTCCATACAGCTTCAGATCGTCCATGTAAAGGAGGTGGGATAACCTGGCAGATGTTTTT